TGTGTTGAGGTTGAGAGTTGTAGCACTGTGTGTAGTGTTATGTGTGTGAGTGTTGTGATGAGGCGTCGAGAGTGTGTGTGAGTCGTGTGATGTACGTGAGCTGTATGCTGTGTCGAGAGTGATAGATGAGTCGGTGTGTGCCTTGACGCGTGATGAGATGTGTTGTGTGAGTGTGTGTGCTCCGTGAGGTGCAGAGTGTTTAGCTGACACCATGCGTGAGTGTGTTAGTGTGTTGCTCGTGTGAGTGAGTGAGAGTGTGTGTGTGTGAGTGAGTGATGTGTAATGTGAGTAGTGTATGTGCAGTGTGGTGTGTGTGTGTGTGTGTGTGTCGTGTGTGTGTCTGTGTGTGTGTGTGTGTGTGTGTGTGTTGCTGTGTGTGTCTGTGTCTGTGTGTGTGTGTGTGTGTGTGTCTGTGAGTGTTCTAACAAATAAGAGCAGCAAATCTGTGTTTTTGAAATCGAGAAATGTTTATAAAGAAAAATGAATGTAAAGTTGTGATTCGTGAACATGTGATTCGTGAACATGTGATTAGTGAACATGTGATTATGAACATGTGATTTATGAACATGTGATTCTGAACATGTGATTCGTGAACATGTGATTCGTGAACATGTGATTGAACATGTGATTTGTGAACATGTGATTCGTGAACATGTGATTTGAACATGTGATTCGTGAACATGTGATTCGTGAACATGTGATTCGTGAACATGTGATTCGTGAACATGTGATTTATGAACATGTGATTCTTGAACATGTGATTTATGAACATGTGATTTCGTGAACATGTGATTCGTGAACATGTGATTTATGAACATGTGATTTATGAACATGTGATTTGTGAACATGTGATTTCTGAACATGTGATTTATGAACATGTGATTTGTGAACATGTGTTTATGAACATGTGATTCGTGAACATGTGATTTATGAACATGTGATTCGTGAACATGTGATTAGTGAACATGTGATTTATGAACATGTGATTCGTGAACATGTGATTTGTGAACATGTGATTCGTGAACATGTGATTTGTGAACATGTGATTTATGAACATGTGATTCGTGAACATGTGATTCTGGAACATGTGATTCGTATGAACATGTGATTCGTGAACATGTGATTTGATGAACATAGTGATTCCGTAGAACCAATGTGATTCTGTGAACATGTCGCATTTCTATGAACATGTGATTCAGGCAGATAACATCTCCGACTTATGAACATGTGATATAATGAAACATAGTAGATTACTATGACAATGTGATTGTGAACATTGATCAGATTGAACATCGCTGAATTTGATGAACATGTGATTCGTGCAACATGTAGAATTCGTAACATTGTGATTCAGTTGAAACCATGTGACTTCATGAACATTGTTGATTCGAACATCGCTGACTTATGCAACATTTGATATTATGAACATGTGATTCCGTGAACATGTGATTTATGAACATGTGATTCGTGAACATGTGATTTGTGAACATTGATTTATGAACATGTGATTGTGAACATGTGATTTGAACATGTGATTCGTGAACATGTGATTCTGAACATGTGATTCGTGAACATGTGATTTGTGAACATGTGATTTGTGAACATGTGATTCGTGAACATGTGATTTATGAACATGTGATTTATGAACATGTGATTTGTGAACATGTGATTTATGAACATGTGATTCGTGAACATGTGATTCGTGAACATGTGATTGATTGGACAGCAGAGAAAGTGGAAACATGGTTTCTAAACTCTGTCAGTGCTACAGTGTAGCTGATGATCACATGATGTGAGGTCATCGTTCACCGTGGTCCGTGCTGTGTTATCAGGATCAGATTACTCTCAGATATATTCATAGGTTTTTACCTGCTTATATTTATTCATGAAGTAATCAGATCTGAAGCAGCAGTGAATTAAATACTGTGCTTATTTGTATCTCAGTGCACATGACAGACTAGACATAACTGTGTGTTAGTAAAGGACACAACAGCATTCAGTCAGGAGCACTCTGAGCTTATCTTTACAAAAACATGCAGATATTTGTCTAATAATCTTGTTATGGTTTGTGTCTGATTCCAGAAAGGAAACACTGCGCTCCACATATCCTCTCTGGCTGGCCAGGCTGACGTGGTGAAGATCCTGAGCAAACGTGGTGCTGATATCAACGCACAGTCTCAGGTGAGCCTCGACGCTGAGGCCGTTTAATCCTCCTGAAAGTTACTCTGCCGCTCATCACTGTTAGGTAGTCAGGGGGTTCTCAGCTGTGGTGTAACTGTTCCTTGTGTTCACCCGTTTTGCCATATGCTTGGTTCTTTGTGTTAACAGAATGGATTCACTCCTTTGTACATGGCTGCCCAAGAAAATCACCTGGATGTGGTGAGGTACCTGCTTGAGAATGGAGGCAACCAGAGCATTGCTACAGAGGTAAGACGAGTGTGTTTAGATTACTGCATAATCTAAACACATTAATGTGTTTAGATTACTGCATAATCTAAACACATTAATGTGATGTTTCCACTGATTTGATCACTTTTCAACTTTCTGCTGCTCCAGATGAAGAAAGAAACCTCAAGTCTCTCAGTGAGAATCACACTCACACGTCTCCTCTTAGGCTTTCAAAGTGTTCGTGGAACCAAGCGTTGATACAGCTCTTTCCACACTGATGCCAAAATACATGATCAATACATTTAATGAAGATGAATTTGAATGCAGGTCAAAACATTTCAAATAATTTTATTTATACAGCATCACAACAACAGT